CTTTCCCTTTCCCTTTCTCTTTCTTGTTTTTCTTTCACTTCTTCATTTTCTTTCTTTTCTTTTTATATTTTTTATATTTTTTTCAACAGATTTTGCTACGGCTGACTGTGTGAACCCAGAGGACAGTTAGTCTCTTAATACCTCATGAAAGAGCATGAGCACAGAAGGACACCTTGCTTATGTTAAATGCTTACTGAGGCTTCTCATGGTTAGTCCCGGAACAGGAGAAATCCCACAGAGTTATTTCACTTGCATCTCACATGCATGTCTGTGATGAACATGAACAAGAACAGCTGTTTCCTTCAAAACCAGTTCAAGTCTCCAGGGTTACTGAGTCACTTTGTTACAACTGTCAAATGAGAATATGAATGAAGGTATCTTACAACAAGGGAGACAGCTGGGCCCATGGGAGTAAGAAGGGCTGCAACAATTACAACTAAACTTGTTGGACTTACTCTTACTAAACTTGATTGGGTGCTATTTCTGGAATTTGTTGATTCAAGTTCAGGAGGTAGTTGGAAGTCTCGTGTTGGCAGGAATGTCAAGGAAAATCTGCCCCATTCTCAGTCAGCCCAGCCAGTCTGCCCCAGATAATTTGCCTGGTAAATCCCTGACGACCCGAGAATTTGGAAGCCCAAACCCAAGCCTGTGAGAGTGGCCAAAGCCCAAGCAGCCCCAGCTTGTACCGCTCTCAAAGAGCCCGATATACGGGCTGATCTCAGTCTAGGCTCCACACCTTTGACTTGCAGAGAAATTTGGAAGTGTTTTTTATTTTACATCAGAGTAGCAACAAATTTCAAATGATCAGTGCCTTCTTATAAGCAAAATTATGTTTCCTTATCCAGATACAAGTAAAACTTGGGAATTTGAGCCCCTTCTGCCAGATTTCTTTAAAAACATTATCCATTCCCGAATCTTGGATAGGCAGGAGGAAACAAAATGTGCTTTATATATCTGGGCAGGACCATCTTTTGTGACAATGTAGAGCAAGATTAGCATTTTACTTTTCACAGAGATTATGGTGAACAAACATGCAAGCACACTTTAATTATTTATTTATATATATATGTATTTATTCTTTCATTATTTAAAATCCAAATTTCAAGAAGTTTCTATTGAGAAATCCAAAGTTTTTAATAACACTCCAGTAGAAAAATATAGTCCTTAGGATAAAAACTTCCATACTACTACCTCCAAATAAATAAAATTACATCAGACACATTTAAATTATTCAGTATAAAAAAAAACCAGCAATTTTTTTAATCTGAGAGTTGAAGTTAAATCAGTGCAGTACAGTTAGTCACAGTCCCTTGGGGTGTTAAGTAGACTGACGTCCTGGTAACTTCAGTGCATAACAATAGTAAATACCAGCAATTAACCATCAATACTCTCCTTCAGAAACGTGCATCAGCATTCGCTTATCTTTAAACATGTTTATTTGCTTGATTTAGATTTAGACATGTTTAGCAGTAAGCAGACATGAATATGTTTGTCTGAGTACAGTAACTTCCCCCTGTTGGTGCTTGTATCTGCATGCCAAATAGACGAATGATAAGACTAATCTTGTAACAACCCTCTCTAAAGACAGCACCAGATGGAAAACTGGGTACCGTGTCATTTCAAGACTTCCATATGGAAACTGGGTAAATATTGTCTCATTCCATATTTTCAGGTCAACAAACATATAACAAATAGACAGAATTTTAAGACAAAGTTATTTCTTACATAGTAGTAGGGCATATAAATACTTTGATCAGTATTTCTTTATAAATAATTATTTAAAATACTTAAATATTAATAAATAAATGTATAAAAATTCAATAGAAACCTTAAAATAAAAAAAGGTGTGTCGCAAAAAGATTTGCACAGTAACTCAGTACAAAAGAACATAAGATGGCATTAGCATTTGCACTGCCTCTGAACCAGCCTTCTTTTTCTTCCTGAAGAACTTGTAGTATCCCCCAGTTTTTGTAAGACACTGAACAGCTCATTCACAGCTTTGCGTTGAATTTTCGAGTCATTCACCTGTTAAAAGTGAAAAACAAATGGAACGAAAGTTATATCAAGAGCTATAATCATTTACTGATCACATCCCACAGGCTACCCTGCTACCGGAGTAAAACCGATGGACATCTGCAGTTTTCAATTACTCTTCTACCTAATTCCTACAGCAAAGAGCCACTTTGTGACAGATTTTTGTTTTTCACTTTCTATGCTACCTTGCAACATGCCACAGACCAGCCATATTCTGTGAAACAGAGCTACTCTGTAGTTACAAGCAGCTAACTCCACTGGGGTATTGTCTGCAGACCTCTGCAGAGGTCAGTGGTTTGTGCCATTGGTACTCGCTCAATAAGCTTCCAAAGCCAAGGAGCATGCCCTAGCTGGGCACAACTTTCCCACCCAATTTCTAAACCACAAAGGTTCTGTCAATGTCAGCTCTGGCATGCAGCCTGGGTGGAGGTGCTGTCAGCACCTTTGTGCCAAACTCCAGCAAGACTCAGAGGTCTACCCCACACCGTAGACGTGCAGCAGCCCCTGCAGCTGGAAACATTAGGTTTCCCAGTGTGAAGTGGGCTAGACAAGCGTTACCATATGGGTTGCTGAAGCACTATTGGCTTGAATCACACTCAAATCACAACTGGAAAATATAACGTGATGAGCCTTGGAGGCAAAGGAAGAGCCTTACCTGAAGCTCTGTCAGGTTCTTGAGATATTCCATCTTCTTTGAGTCATCAGAAAGGCTTTCTTTCAAAGTGTAGAGCTCCTCAGATATGTTCCTGACATGTGCCTTTGACTTGTCAGTGTTTTCAAGGATTTTCAAGTACATGGAAACAATCTGACTCAGGATGATCCTTTTTTCATTTCTCTGTTAAAAAATACAATCAGAAGGAAAGGTCTGTGAGTGCTCATCAGCAGGAAAATGAATGAAGATAAAACATAGCATGCAGGGGTTCTCACTGCCACTTGAAACAAGATGATAAAGAAGATGTTGTAAATCACCCCCTGGGCTTGTCTGTATCTCAGATCATTTCATGGTGCAGTACAAAGCACCTTGACCCTTATGGGAAGAATTTTTATGGGGATTTTTTCTCATTTCCAAATTACCAAAGGGAACTCTGCTCATGCTCATTCTACTGCAGCTAATTACACTGGTTCTAAGAGCTGCTTTGTACCAAAAGAACCCTGCAAAGTGCCTAAGATGCTTTTTCATATCTGTTTCTGACTCACTTCTGTCCAGTTTGACAATCTCTCCGTAAAGATAGATCCACCATCACCTACATCTGAACGGCTTGAGTTCTGCAACAAAGAACAAATATACAATACTTATATTATACAAACAATACTTATCACTAGGCAAATTTCTGTTCTCTAATCAAATAAGCGGTAAAATCCAGATTTTTGTACCACTGGCCTATAGCTATCACAATGCTTTCACTTCTCTAAGCACCAAATCCCATTGCATGGCTGTCTAGTATCAGAAATGGCATTTTTCTGCTTTTCAATGATTCTGCTATAGCTCACCTAAATAGAGATGTTGAACACATCTGTTTTCCCAAATGCTTTTGCTATCGACA